CATCCCGGTGTGCACTTTCACTTTTGAAACAGCTGTTGAGCAGAGTAACTTGCCGGTGAGATCATGCTAATGAAGCACGGGATATTTAAATCCCCGCTTCATTCGCAATTTTGGTCACCTACATTTGCATCCCTAGTTTGAACTAGGGCGCAATTGTAGATGTCTCCTTACAAAAGTAGAGAATTCAGTGACTTTTCTTCATAGTACAGGTTGTATCTCCAAAAACTGGCATTCTCTGGTTCAGAAACATCTGTCATCCATCAAGACCATGGATGCTCATGGACCAGAGAGTCTGGGAGCCTAAGGGCAGGAGAGCGAGCTGGGACAAGTTCTGCAGCTTGTCTGGGAACAGCATGAGACTTGGGCCAGAGTTCCTCAGCAGCCTCCAGCAGCTCCTCAGAGCTCAGGGCTGAAGTTAGAGCCAGCGTGGAGCTGGAATCTTTTGGCACCCCCTCAGAAGTATGGGGCTGGGGCACCTCGGCAGCCCTTGGAGCAAAGGGGATGGTGTTGAGCCCTGTGGCTGCCCCAGATGCGTGTTCAGCTGGGGCCAGAGCCCCATGACAGGACCCAGAACTTGTGCTACCAAGAGAGCTGGCAGCAGCTGGGCAAGTAGCCCAGCAAGATACCTTCCCTGCTCCCCCCCCCCCCCCCTGCTCTAGCAAATTCTCTCATTGGGGACCAGTCTGGTCCTGACAGAGCCAGGCCCATTTACATTTGGGTTAGTGAGAAGGGGAGAGAATATAATTTTCTTTGTCTGTGGATGAAAAGTCACTAGTACATAATAAATCTAGGTTCATTTCTGTATTTTGCATGAATTAACAACTAAGATTGTTTATTTATACACAATACAGAAAGACTTTCAGATTAATACTTGGGAAGAGCCAACATTTGTTCAGGCATATCTAAATTATTAGCATCAGTCCATGTATTTAGTTTTGGAATGTGTCCGGAATGGTGTGTGGGGAGGGAATCAATTTTTTTCCTATCGTGTTTGAGACTAGCTTAATTCCTTAGAGGTTTAATTTATTTCATATTGTTTTGGTAGCTTCAGTGTTCCGGCTTTCTTGGCAGTCTTCAGTTTGCAAGTTTTGGAATAATAGGTAAAATCTCTGTGATGTAATTTGTCTTTCTCTTTTTGTAGAGCCCCTGTTCCAATTTTTCTGTAACAGTGGAAATGTTTAGTGCCAGTGTTCATCTTATAGAAAGAATAATCCAGTTTGATTTATGAAATCCTTTCCTCAGCCTTTTCTGCTAGTATAGCTTTACTTGCTGAAAAACTAACTTCCTGAAATGACATCAGTGATCCTGAAGGGGAGGGGGAATGGAAATGCTGATATTGTAACAGTGCCATGCTTTGAGAAATCTGTAGCTTTAAAGAAAACCACCTCTGTGGGGTTCTCCCTTACCGAATATTAACTCCTTAGACTGGCAGCTTCCTACCTACTTCTAAGGCTTTTATGCAGAAGAGAATAGACTATGAACCAGATCCTGACTTCTTGGTGGAGACCATATCTTCCCAAGCAAAATTCTGTCCTCTGAATGTTCTCATCAATTTCTTCTTGACTGTTAAAAGTTTGTATATCAGTTGTTCTCCTGAATCCCAACAGCTCATCTTGACCCTGGATGCCAATTGAACTGGAAGGTATACTGTGTAAATATTTCTGTAGTGGTCTCGTTGCTGGTTTCCATTAAAAAGAGAGTTGCGTATTAATATTCCCTTGAGGCATTATGAAGATGGTGGGTAAAATGCCTCTCACATAGTAACTGGTAGATGCTAAATCAGTGGCATTGTTTGGGGAAGTTTGACCATAACAATTTGACTCTATGCTTTCTTTCACATATAGAGTGGGTAATAATTTTGGGTTTTTTTATGGTAAAGATTAATCCTCTGGACTGGCTCTCTAAGAGCAGAGATTGTGACAGGAAGGTTATGAGCAAGATGTACTGGAACCAAAAATTTTGACAGAAAACTGAATGAAAATTTGGGAAGTGTTACAGGTTTAGTTATGTCCAGAATGCCTCAAGCAAGAGAGGACAACTTGACTTAGAAGTCCAACTGAGTTAGTTCTCATTGTCTCTCTCATACACAGCGTCAACAGGCTCTCAGCAAAGCAAAGGCAGATAATGGGAGGGAGGGGGAGGTGAGAGTAGCAAGCAGAGGGCACAGCCCCCTAGAAATTTTAGAAATAAAAAACCAGTACATTACAAATGGAAACAGTAGATAACTATTTTATATCTGTTACTGTGAATTTCTTTAACTTCCCTTATCAAGGAAAGTTCATGGCTGGCTGCCCTCAAAGCAATATGGCTACGTCTACACTGGCCCCTTTTCCGAAAGGGGCATGGTAATTTCAGAGATGGTAATAGGAAAATCCGCGGGGGATTTAAATATCCCCCGCGGCATTTAAATAAAAATGTCCGCCGCTTTTTTCCGGCTTTTAGAAAAGCCGGAAAAGAGCGTCTACACTGGCCCCGATCCTCCGGAAAAAGCGCCCTTTTCCGGAGGATCTTATTCCTACTTCAAAGTAGGAATAAGATCCTTCGGAAAAGGACGCTTTTTCTGGAGGATCGGGGCCTGTGTAGACGCTCTTTTTCGGCTTTTCTAAAAGCCGGAAAAAAGCGGCGGACATTTTTATTTAAATGCCGCGGGGGATATTTAAATCCCCCGCGGATTTCCCTATTACCATCTCTGAAATTACCATGCCCCTTTCGGAAAAGGGGCCAGTGTAGATGAGCCCCTTATGTATAACGTAAAAGATAATAGTGTTGCCCTGTTACAAGATGGTGATAGTAAAACTGTTAGTGATCTAGAAAAGCAAAAGTGTTCAATAATTCAATAATAAAGGAACAGGATTATGTATTCATATGAAGAGGATGAAATAGTATCTAGTCTACCAAGAATAAAGGTTAAAATCAGCTGGGTTGAATAACTTGCACTAAGAAAACTAAAGGCATTGGCTGAGGGGAAATAATGGCTCTTACTAATTAATAAATCTTAGCATACCGGGAAGTTCTAGAAGACTGGTACAATGTAACACTCTTCCAATAGTAAGAATATCTAATTAGTTTAAGTTAATTAACATGACATCAGTCCTGGGCAAAATAATTGGAAAGCTGATCAAGAGTTCAGCTGATACAGAGTAGGAATATAATTTCAGTCAAGAGTTCTGTGGAAAATTGATTTCAAACCCGAAAGTTTGGTTAATAAGGCAACTGTGTAAATGTAGCAAACTCAGGGTTTTTTAAAATAAGTTTGACTTTGTACAATATAACATTCTGATTTTTAAAATTATCAGTAAACATCAACAGAGCACCTGAATTAAATTCATGGTAAATGAATTAAGAGATGGTAACCAACTATTCAAAAATAGTCAATAGGGAAATCATCAAATTATGATTTCAGTGAGATTTGAAAAAGCTTAGTGATCAGGGAAGTAAATATAAAATCACTGTTGATCAAATTTGAGGATGATACAGATTTCAGTAGTAAATGACAGGGCAGATCCACAGATATCTGGATCACTTAGTAAACTAGACCCATACATGTGCGAACAAGGAAAGCAGATCATATATACAAAGTAGAGAGGGATTGTCCTGGAAAGCAATGACTCAGGACAAGAAGTCAATTTGAACTCCCAATATG